GATGTGTTTGTTTCAGGAAATGCTGTAGCATCTTTCCAGTCTCAGGAAAGAAAGAGACAAATGCTGTGACTTAGGTGGTGGCTCTGTGCATTCAGCTTTCCCGACCTCACCCACAGCACGTGGGCAAGTACCACGTCTGTCTTCACAGGCTGGTGCACAGAAGATAGCTGCTCGTCCACGGCACTGGGCTGTGTCACACAGAAGCACCCTCCTTTGTCGCTTTGTCTTGCGAACGAGAACGCGAAGTCTGTTTTCGAGAAAGACGCCAAAGTGACCGCACAGCCACTGGTCTATGCAAATGTAATAAAGACAGCATTTACCAATGCATTTTAAGAGCACTAAGCTATTGTTGCCAAATCATCCATAAATGGGAATTTTCTGGGAAATATAACTTAGTTTTTTGAGTTTAGGGTTCATTTCAATTTTGTTAACGCTTCTCAGACTAAGTTCGTTCTCTTTATACCACCCAGAACAGTAGCTTCATCATTCTTCCGCTTTGGGGGTTCATTCCTATTGGGTCACTAATTTCCCCATCCATGGACTTAATCTCATTTTCACGCCTGCTGTGACACCTTAATGACAATACCACTGAAGTCGTATTTCTTTATCATAAACTCTTATAATTAAGTTGACAGTTGACAAAAGCCAAAACGGTGAATTGCTTATTTCAAGTCTACTTTGGAGGGAGAAAAAATAGCCCAGACTGAAGACAGGTCTTTGCAGGAGGTGGGTGATGTTGTAGGGGCGCTGTGGCCCTGGGAGCCTGTCAGGGCTTCCTGTGGGGATATGTTTCCACGTGCAATCTCGTCACTTGGCACTTGGGGCTTTGGAAGTTGGGGAGAGGGACAGAGGTTGGAGTCCGAGCCCCTGACTTTTACCCAGAAGTGGCTGAGCAGGAACAAAGCTGTCACCTCAGGTTCTGAGGTGGCATTGGCACCCTTAGATACGTCTGTGTGAAAACCATGTCGAGCCCTGGCTGGTGTGGCTCAGCTGGTTGAAGTGTTGCCCCATAGACTGAAAGGTCACAGGTTTGATTACCAGGGCACGTATCCAGGTTGTGGGTTCGATCCCCAGTCAGGGCACATACAAGTAGGCAGCCAATTGGTATTTCTTTCTCACCTCTCTCCCTCTCCCTCCCTCCCTCCCTCCCTCCCTCCCTCTCTCTCTCTCTCTCTCTCTCTTTCTGAGTAATGGAAAAATGTCCTTGGGTGAGGATTTTAAAAAATCATGTTGATTTCAATAATGACTTAGTCCTTCATGTGTGCCTCCTCATAGGATTAAGCCTCGCGTTGTTATTGGGTTAGCACAGGTCATGGCTGGCCCCATGCACGGAGTCCTGAGTGACCACTGTTTCACCTGAAGAACTTGGGCTTCTCTCCTCCCCAGACTTAGGGCCCTGGGGCTAGTTTGTCTTCGAAGAAGAGAGATTTCAGAAGAAGCCCACTGTCAGAAAACGTTACCATCAGTAACGCAGCTAGGTATATGGCACCGTGTCCAATTTCCTTAATGCTTTGGCACCAGTGCTCAGATTCTAGAAGGTGGGTCTCGAGCCAAGCTGACCCCCAGCATTGGGACCAGCAGTTTGTCCTTTCTCAGGACTGTTTGCTGGGAATTCTCTGAGTCAAAACTCATTGTAGTGCAGTGTCCAGAAGAGACGACTGTGCCCACCTGTGGAATTACTGTAATCACCAGACAGGTGTTTGTGTGGAGGGTGGGGGAGGGGTTGAGGCAGGAATTTAATTGGACGTGGAGTTTCAGGAGCCTGTCTAATGGCATTGAATTCTGCGGAAGGTGCCATTGTAGCGAGGAAGACCGTACCTCTCTCTGCCTTACAGACACTGTCACACCACACACAACCTCTGCTCGCTCAGAACAAAGGGCCCTCGATCCACTTGGTTGGGGTGCTTTCAGACCCAATGAGATCTGGCGAAAGGCTGGTGGTTCTCGAATTTTACCGAGCAGAGAACCCCCCGTGCTGCTTGCTACGAATGCCGATGCCCCACCCCCCGCCCCTCCCCTCCATCCAGATTATTGTTCCGTCATTTGAAGCTGAGTCTTGGGCAGGCCGTTCAGAAAGACACTCTGGAGACACTGGGTGTTTCAGTTGTTGTGCTGCGTCTTAGTTTTGTCATCATAGGCAAACATGAACCCCACTACTTTTGTAGCTCAATTCATTGTCTTTTGTTTTTTCTATTAATTGGCTTGAGAGAGAGAGGGGATGAGAGAGAGAGAGAGAGAGGGAGAGGGAGAAACACTGAGTTGTTGTTCCACTCATCCATGCACTCATTGGTTGATTCTGGTATCTTCTCTGACCAGGGATCGAACCCACAACCTTGGCGTAGCGGGACGATGCTCTAACCAACTGAGCCACTGGCCAGGGCTTCCCTGTCTTTCCGTTTCCTTGTAAATTACTTCAGTTCCAGGACTGTTTCTCTGTCACGACTTCTGTGTGCCCCACAGGCCCCCATTATGAATCACTGAGTGCCCAGGTACTTCTAGAAAGCGCTATTTCTCCAAGACTGTTAATGTCTCAGACTTTTCCCCTAGGGTTTCCCGTTTTAAAGTGGCCTTATTTCCCACAGGGCCATGTCAGTCCCATAGATTGTTGAAAATTGGGATTCCTTTAAACTAAAACTTGCTTTCTTTAACTTAAATAACCACCATTTGCATCACTTGTCTCTCCATCCAGTTCATAGTTTTAACCTCTGAGCCTCTGTGTTGGCCCCAGACCACCCCACCCTTTGGCCTGGCTTAAAAACAAACAAATGAGCAACAACAGCAACAACAAAACAAACACACACACACAAATAAAGAAAAGAAGATTTCGACAAGGCAACCCAATAGCAGAGTGAGAGGAACCCACAGGTGCCTCCTTGCAGCCCGCCTGTTGGAAATCGCAAACGGCAGTAGCAACCTCGCCTTGTTCCCGCACAGACTTCCTTTGACCCGGTTGCCCTGGGACAAGTTCAAGGATCTGGATCCCATTCATAGAATTGTCCCACAGCAGCCACTGGCCTGAAGACGGTGCTGCTGTTTCCCGGGAAAAGGAGTTAAATCCCACCCCCCCCACCCCACCCCACCCCCGCCGCTCAAGACATGCATGGGGCCCTAGTTGGGAGAAAAAGTCTACGCTGCCTTTCTTGGGTGACACCGAGTTTTTCAGGGAAGGCGACTCCCAGCATCTCTTTTTAGAGGTCAGACGCGAGCGAGAAACCTTTGACTTGCCCATCTTGGGACAACCCGTGTGTGCCCAGGGTAGCTTCCTGTCCTTGCCGACTGGTGATCTGAGGGAATTTTCTTCCCGGGAGACCGTGGGGAAGGCTCTGAAAATAAACGGCGTGTGTGCTCATGGGTGAGGACATGCGCACGGGTGACAGGTGGCCACTGGCTACCGCCCGTGGAGCCCACGTGGCAGCGGTGTGCTGCAGAAACCCAGGTGTGGGCCCCGCCATGCCACGTGGGTTGCCCAGGGTCCCGGGTCCCCATCAGAGAGGGCTCCCTCGGGGAGGTGGGGTCGCCCCAGGTGTGAAAACAGGTCGCTGAGATCTTGTTAGTGGGCGGAAGGCTGGCGATGGTAAGTTACAGGGGGTGGAAGAAATCTTTCCGATCCATGTTCAGTCTGAGAGAACAAAGGGACAGGTCTGGGGGAACCATGACAGGGGAATATCCATGCGGCCACCGCCTTTCGTTACAGCAGTTTTCAGGTCAGGTCTGAATAGCGACGGCGGGGTTTCCAGCGCAGCAGTCCCCAGCCTTTTTTCGCACCAGGGACCAGTTTCGTGGAAGACCGTTTTCCCCCAGACCGGGGTGGGGGGTTGCTTTCGGCACAATTCAAGAGCATTACGTTCAAGCTCACCTCCTGCTGTGCAGGCCAGTTCCTAAGAGACCCGGACCGGCGGCCGGGGTTTGGGGACCCCCGTCCTAGAACGTGTGCCCCAGGCAGAGGGCAGCCGCGTGGACAGACGTTCGGTCTGGGTCAGGAGCCAGGACAGAAGCCTGTCCAAGCCAGGCCCCGGAGCCAGCGAGGGAAGCTTCCAACCACTCAGTTAGGACACTAACGTGTTACATCCTTGACGACGTTCTGTTCGTCAGTCCCATTTCAATCTTCGAAGAACCCTCAGGGTCGCATTCTGCCCACTTTCACTGGATAGAAATGGGCCTGGTCACCTCAGGGCACTTGTCCCCAGAAATCGGTGACAGAACAGGGTTTACTCTCCACACCTCCTCGTGCAAAAACCCTGTGCTCACAATCCACCGGCTCTCCCAACGACCCGGCAGCCTTGGGACACTGAGCAGGGCTTCCTCGTCCATTCTCGGCGTCATTTCTAAATAGCAACAGTACGGCAGGCCGGCGCAAGGCCTGGTCGCTCTTACTGTAAAGGGAGCGAAGCTCCAAGCCTCAGGCGGTAATAATGGTGACGGAGGATAGGTTTTACCCCATCCGAGGAGCCCTCCAAGTTTTGGGGGGGGACTCGGCAGCCCCAGACCCGTCAGTATACACTTGTGCCTTTGACTCGCTCGAGAAGGAGCGTTCACGTGCGGGTGAGGAACGATGACTGGTGGTTTTAAGCCACCCCAAACCTAGGCCAACCAAATGAGAACCAGACCTTGTATCCGAAATAGGTAGGCTGTCTTTTGTCAGAGCAGGCCAAGGCCGTTCCTATTCCTCTTTAATAGAAGTCAAGGTATTTATTTTAACATTTCGGTGCATCAGTTGCACATTGTTATGTTAACACTAGACCGTGTTAGAGGGAGAAGTGAATTCAGGAGTCCGACGGCTGGTGAAGGGGGTGCCAAACGCCTGGGACCAGCATCCAGATCGCCCCTGTAGATCTGCAGTGTCTACTCCCCCGGCCCCGAGCAGCAGGGACCATGTATCCCTAGGGGGAGACGGTCAGAATGTGCATTGCGTCCCTCTCCCGCTTTGAATCATTGTGTAGCTCTGCGCGAGGCGTGTCGTCAGTAAAATAGCTAATGACTGTGCTTTTTAAAACTCCTAGCTGTCTGCCCAGTTGTTACAACACCCTCTGGCTCAGTGGGCAGCTTGTGCTCCAGACAGTCCCAGGTGCTCTGTGGGTACCTTGGTGAGTACTCTTGTCTGCTTTATACTCCTTTGACGTAGTGATGTCGGCTCTCTCTGTCCTGTGTGTGTCCTGTGGGGAGGTGGTCCGCGGCGCGGCGCAGTCCTGAGACGCAGCCTGGCACACGGGGGCCCCTAACTTTTTTAGGCGGCCATGTCTATGGGAAACGCTCATGACTAGCTCTGAAATGATGGGATGGCTCAATGGGTGTAAGTGACAGGGTGGATGGCGGGGCGTCTGAGAGAGGTGTCCTCAGGGTTAGAGGGACCGGAAATATTGATCTTCTGACCCCCATGGAGGATACTCCCTGGAGGGTGAACCATATGGCCAGAAGGTCAAGGGTCCTTTTGTTTTTTCTTTTTTTTTTTTCAGTATCTGATTTAAATGTCCTTATTTCTGGCACATAGTAGTTGCCCAATTAATGAGGAGATTTTTTTTTTCTCTGCTTGGAAGTTCTAGAGGGAGGCTTGGGGGAGAGTTATGCCGATGCCATTATTTGTGACCTTCATGTTGTCATTTTTGGGTTGCATGAGAAAATGGGTTGTCCTGGGGACAAGACTCCAGCCCACTGGACCTGGGCACTGGCCACATGCTCACACCACTTAGCCCTGACCCTCAGAGCCAGTGGCACGTGCCAGGCCGGGGGCGGGCGTTGATGCCACAGGTCTCACTCTGCTTTGGAGCATTAATCAATTTAGCCAGCTTTTATTGAGCACCTACTGTGTGCTGGGCAATGAGACCACTGCCAAGAGCAGGATTCAGATGATCCGGACACTGAAGAACTCAGGGGCCCAAGCTGCCCCCTGGCCCGGGCCTAGGAAGAGAGGAAGGAGACCTCTGACCCAGGCGCTGGTTCGCTCTGAATTCTCAAGGCCCCGAGAGGTCTGGGTTATACTGATTCTAAATGTGGGCAAAGGTCCCAGCGAGGACAAAAGACGTGCTTTCATTACCCTAAGAGATGTCTGATTCGCTGGCACCACCTGCTCTGTAATGGATCGTGCTTAACCTTGCTTCTTAGGAATCAAGGAATAAAGTGGTTTATTTACAGTGGCCCAAGCTGGGGTTTCCTCAGAAAGCACTGATTCTGTTGAGACATACATTTATTTCGGTCCGGAAAGCCTTAGACTGCCCCGCTAGAAGCCGCCGTGGGGATACAGGAATGAGAGGTTTCATCCATGCTTTTCAAGGTCTCCTTTGTGCGAGAGCTTTTGTGTTACAGTCAGCCTCTAAATGTGTATTTGATTTCACTGTCTTAACCAAGGAGTTAATTGTCTGATTTTTTTTTTTTCTCCAGTAGCTTTTTGGAAAAGGACAAGGGAGAGAATGACAGAAGGGAAACATTTGTTGAACATCCTCTATGTCCCTGTCACTTAACACGCCTCCTCTGGGTCCTGCCCACGTTGCGGGTTGGTCGGGGGGTGGGGGGTGGGGGGAGGGCAGTCCGAGCTTCTCAGGACACCGTGGCCTGGGAGGCAGATGCCAGGTCCTCGCGCCTGGAGCTCACTGGTGGCCGGGCTGCGCCCCGAGTTCTGGTCTGGCCTTCACGTTCACCACCAGGCTGCTCAAGCCCCAGACTGGTTTTTTTTCCCTTCCTTTTGCTTTTCCTTGGGAATCCTGTCCCTCACTGTTACAATTCCCTTACCTGCTACTTTGCACTGATGTCCTTCCCACGTCCTCCTCCCACAGTAAACACACGGAGAGGCCGGCCCTCTGCGTGGTTCTGCCTCCCAGACACCCCACACTCGGGGTTACTCTGGGGCATTTCCGTGGCCTCGAGCATCCCTCTCCCTGGGCTGAGGGAACATTGGAACCCCACCTTGCCCTGGGCCCTGCTTCCAGGCCTGGGGGGGAGCACCCTGCCGACCCCTCCCTGGACCTTCCACGCGAGACTGCCGAGCGGTGGGGCTCCACGTTTTTTTTTTTGTCTCTGTTCTTAGAAATAGTAATTGAGTAAAAATGTAAGTGAGCCGATGCCAGGCGGCATGCAGCCAGGGTCAGGGTGAATTTCTCCATGCTGAGCAGAGGCCGGCCGGGCCAAGCAGCTCCAGGGCCATCCCTGTCACCTTGCGTGAACCTGGCCTCCGTTCCAAGGAGACGTTGGGAGCGGCCGGAGGGAGCTGGGGCCTGTGGCGCCTCTCGCTCGCCTCGCCCACTGTGACCCGGGTGCAGTTGACAGCGGCTGTCCCGACCCCAGTGACCGGCCTGGGGGCCCTGGTCTCCACTGGCGTCAGTAACAGCCTCTGGGAGGTGACATCGTTCTTGCTGCCCAGAGGCTGCGTGGATGCTGCATCGTTTCTGTCTTGGTGAAGTCATCTCCCTCCCCCCACCCCAAGGACGGATTAGGGTGGAGTTAGTCTGCCTGAGAGTTTTTCTAATTCCCTATGAAGGTTCAGAAGATACACCACAGAAGGAGTCTGTCCGTGAATGAATGGATTTAAAGTCGTGAAAGCGATTTCAGGTTTGTGTGTGGGTGTGTCTTTCAAGCCTTTGCTGAGCGAGAGGCGTTGAGTGGCTTGGTGAAGATTTCAGGGTGGTGCTTCTCCAAGGGCGGGAAGCAGATCCCCGGGCCTGGCCCCGAGCTGCGGGGCAGGGGGCTGGGGTGGGCGGAGCCCAGGCATCTGCATATTTGAGTGGCGCTGCCGTTCATTCCCTTGTCACTACAGTTCCCTGCTGCGCTAGGCAGGGGCTGCCCTCTGACTGGGGGCTCTGTCCACAGTGGTCCCCCAGCACAGAAGGGTTCAGAGAGGTCTCTGTTTCATCCGCCGGTCCTGAGAGAGCAGACCCTGAGTTCCCAGCACACCCACGTTCCACCCGGGGCGGTGCATGTCCCCAGATGTGTGCAGAGAGTGAGGCAGACTTGTTAGTCCCACGTGTCACACCTCTTCACCCCAGAGGGGACAACGAGTGTGCGAGGAATTAAATTACTCACACGTAGGGAAGGTCGGGTGGCTAGTTTGGAAGTTACATGGGGGAGTGACTTCTCCCACCCAACGGCCTTCCCCTGGGCAACGGTGGCGTGAGAAGATTTTCAAGACTCACGTCTAGCCTAAGTGACATGGACCTTCTAATATATAAGTCAGTGGGTAGCGTTCAGCTCCCCAAGGTGGCGCTTGGTCAAAGCACAGCCAACCTCTCCGCAGCCTGAACTCTTGTTCTGGGACATTCCGTGGAGTAAGGATCTAGCCAACGATGGAATGTAAACTCTACTATCTCAGCCAAACTCCGCTTTGAGTAACTACAGCTTTCGCTTTCCAAACAGTGTTCTTCCCTGCCAGAGGCTTAGCGCAGGTGAAAAATCCGACCCGGCTCTTCAAGAGAAGAGTCAGTGACAAATGGCTTGGTATTTCCTTAGTGCAGCTGTGCCCCTCCTGCTTCTCCGGTGCTATTTTGGAACGACGCAGCGTTTTGAATCCAACCGCCCAGCGTGGATGGTCTATAACCACTCTAGTGCCTTTGGCCATCCTGCTATTAGAGGAATATCCACTTCCACGTGGTCTGTGTCACTGAGCAGCCCACGTGGCTACCGAAGTATGAAAAGAAGGTTGGATGGTGTTGATTCTGCTGCCTAACAAGCCTTCAATGAAAAGTTGTCTACATTAACTACAAACATAGGTTTTATTTTAATATTTTATTTACTTATTTATTTATTTTGAGAGAAAAGGGAAGGGAGGGAGAGAGGGAGAGAAACATCAATGTGTGGTTGCCTCTCGTGCACCCCCTACTGGAGACCAGGCCTGCAACTCAGGCATGTGCCCTGACTGGGAATCGAACAGGTGACACTTTGGTTTGCAGGCCGGTGCTCAATCCACTGAGCCACACCAGCCAGGGCCAAACATAGGTTTTAAAGATAAATGTCAAATGTAGGCGGAGTTCCATGGGAAGACAAAGAGAAAGAGAAAACTTGCTTATAATAGATTAGCTCATTCAGCCGTGCTCACGGAGTGTCTGCTGTGTGTTAGGCACCAGGCTGGACACCAGCGATACTGGGGCAGCTTCACATCCTGGAGGAAGAAGAGAGACAATCAATGAGACTGAGAATGGTAGAATTTTTTTAAACGATTTTATCTATTTATTTTTAAAGAGGGAAGGGAGGGAGATAGAGAGAGAGGGAGAGAAACATCAATGTGCGATTGCTGGGGGCCGTGGCCTGCAACCCAGGCATGTGCCCTGACTGGGAATCGAACCTGCGACACTTTGGTTCACAGCCCGTGCTCTATCCACTGAGCTACTCCAGCCAGGGTCACAATGGTAGAATTTGATAGCTCTCATAGGGGAGAAGACTAGAGCTGGGTCGGGGCATGGGAAGATGATTCGCAGTGTTAAGTGGGCTGGCGTGGTAGGTCGCTGGAAGGTGGCATTTAAGCAGAGACTTGAGGTCAGAGGACAGCCTGGGCTATCTGGGGAAGAGCACTTCTGGCAGAGGGCCAGTCGGTGCCAGGGTTCACGGGTGCAAGGGTTAACCGAAGTGTCGAGGGAGATGAGGTTATAGAAATCATTGTGGACAGCTCCTGCAGGGCTTGGGGGCCATTGTAGAGTCTGGGACTTTTCCTTTGGTGAAATGGGGAGGAGGGTGGTGTTAGCCAAGGAGTCCCTGAGGCCGTGAAGTTGAGGAGAGCCTAGTGCCCCAGGAGAGCAAGGCAGCAGCCAAAAGCCCAGGTATCTTTGCAACACCTGGAGTGGCTCTTTGCAGCTGCATTCCCAGGTGCACCTGTGCTTTACCGGGAATCTCCAACAGCGTGTCCTGAGTTCTTTCTTTAGCAAATAATTTGAATGCCAGGCAACCATGGCTTCTGTAGATAGAAAGCTCCTGAGTTATTGGAAACCCACCCCCTTTCTTTCTGGAAAAGAAGCTGTCTTTGTACCCTTCTGTGGGTGAAAATAGCCTTTTGGGTCTCCCCTCTCGTGCTGACAAGTGTGGAGTGGCAGCTGTTGGGGTTTGTACCTGCTGTCGTGCCTAGGCACAGCCATCCTCGACTCGGTGGCCAGGGACACAGGGCACCCAA